CTTGGGCAGGGCCTGCTTGAGATAACACTTATGAGCAGACAGAATTTCAAAATCAACAGGTGTTTTGTAGACTTAGGGAACAGCTATAACAAAAGGCATTCAATGGTATATTTACCAAACCCAAAATGGAGCCAAGAAGCGACACTTATCGTTAGGACTTATATACACTTTAAAATACTTTTTTTTTAACTCAAAATTTCTTCAGTCTAATCATCATTTTTCCTAAATAAATAATATATAGCAGCAAAAAGTTGGCTGGCTAATTGGAATTTACTCTGTCAAGATGGCCCTCAGACAATTATTAAAAGTATTGCGCTATTCACATGTGCCCTTTCCATTTACTATTTTAATACAGAAATAGACACATTGGGGATGCGGCGTGCATCAAAAGCCCGTTCCTTCTACTATTAATGTGTTTAATGACCTTGGTTAAATGTCAGGACAAACATCTGCCATTTTCCTTCCTTTTAAGAAATACTACCTTGAAATACACGATGTTTGATTTTATCATTCATCACACTTAAAGAAACAATACCTAAAAAAGATGTATCTGTTCTTCTAGTATATTAGTATCACATAAATATTAATAAATGTATATATGTAAATTATTTCTTTTTTTTTAGATTACATTAACACTTTGTATTGAAAAAAAAAAAATAAATAAATAAATATATATATATATATATATATATATTTATATACAAAGTCTAGGAGGGTGGACAGCACCAGCAACCATATACACATTCAACCAGATGTGTTCCCAAACAAAACACCTAAATAGATAAAATAAGAGAATATGAGGGGTTACAGTACAGTGAATGAGTAACTTTAGGTATTCCTGCCTTTTTTAGTTACTAACCTGTTCTATACGGTGAAAATGGAGATGTGTGTTCAGGTCCTAAATAGCTTCCATGTATACAACACACATGAGACACTATGAGCCAACTTTCAACTTTCATTGAGCCCTTCTATTGTGCCTCTGTAACCTCCGAAGTATTTCTTCAAACTCTAATGGGTTTGAAAAAAAACATAAACCAGTGTAGCTCCAGGTTGGTCCACATTTGCCTTCTACAGACAGGTGCTTGATCCTCTTGTTGCTGACAATCACTCTGACACATTTCACGTACCGATGCACTTAATCATAGAGTAGAGTAGATGATGCTTTATGTAGAGGATACTTTATGATTAAGCACCTGTGAGCGTGAAATGCATCAGATGTTCTCCATTCATCACCGGTGTACTCTATTTTATAAATTAATAAAGGAGCTGTATGGAATATGCCAGTATGTGGTCATCCATTTTCTTCATATTAGTGCTTGTCAACAACTTTCTAGATATTCAGCTGGCTGTAGAGGGCAAGCATGGACCGACCCGGAACAACTGTCTTCTCAGAAAGTTAGTGTTCGAAGAAATACATTTCATGAACCTTAGAAGTTGGAGCAAGGAAGGTATCAGTGCCTCCTCCTGTATTTGATACAACTAGTACTACATCCTTTACAATTACAATTGAATAAATACTTTGGAGGTTACAAGAATATAATGAAAGAACCCAACAAGGGGTATGTCCGGACAGTATATGGTACCGGCTACTCTGTAAAAGTGTATAACAATAGTACAGGGACCCTTTTATGATGGAAGATGAAAATCCATTAATACATAAGTATGAAACTTTTGTTTGTGGATATGCTTCACTGATACATTTAGTTAAATAAAAGACAACTTTTTTTTTATTTTAAAAAAAATATGTGAGTTTCTAGGCCATTTTACTATTTACATTTTGGACATAAGCCAATGATTGCTGTATAGTTGTAATATTTATGTTTTATAGAACATATTGAATGCAGATGGAGGTAAATTGGTATTTATTTTTACTCACCAACTGCCAAGCTAACATTATTTTTATATTATAGATACATTATAAGCAGCTTGCTGTTGTGTACTTTGAGAAAAGAGTCTCATGACCCTTCAGGACCCTGTCAGGATATCAGTGGTTGAGTGGTTAACTTGCGAGCCAAACAAAAAAACCTTCGGGACCGCTAACAATTAACACATACTCCAACTGTGCAATTTAAACCATAAATCTATAAATGTTGCGCTCCTATTATCCAACTATATAAAGTGTGTGAAATATACTATTATATATACAAACTGACAAAAATTTCAATATATCAATAAAGTGATCATAGTAAAAAACAAAAATAAATCAGTTTATCCAAAAAAAGTCCAAATTTGTGATAAAGTGATTAAAACATAATACAGTGACTTTCTGTGAAACCTTCAGTGAAATTAAATGTGCGCTCACCTCCTTCTAAGCCTATTATACAGGCTTAATAAACTTTTGGTTCACATATCCTGGAACTACTAGAATTGCTGCAGTATTATTATTATACAGTATTTATAAAGCGCCGATAGTTCGCTCAGCGCTGTACATTACAAAGGGGGACAGAACATGTGACAGAACAATACCAATACAATGCAAAACATGAGGGGATTGAGGGCCCTGCTCTTTCGAGCTTACAATCTAGGAAGTATATGATGGATGTTGGGAACTTCTTGCAAACACCCTTTCCCCTTTAAACTCTGTATATCCCTGCAGGGATTTCTCCCCTCCTTCAGCAAGTTGGTGAATTTGGGAGCAATTACAAAATACAGGTGTGTGTAACTTTCAAGCCAACCAAAAAAACCTTAGGGATCACTAAAGTTTATTATGATCACTTTATTGATATATTGAAAATTTTTTGGCAGTTTGTATATATAATAGTATATTTCATACACTTTATATAGTTGGATAATAGGAGCGCAACATTTATAGATAGATAAGTGGTTGAGTGTTTAAAACATCCTTTCTCAACCAGGGTTCCATGGTACCCTAGAGTTCCTCCAGAGGTTTCTGGGGATTCCTTGAGCAATGAGCAACATCTGCCTCAACAAATGACATCAATGATCTATTCAGCTATCTGTAAGGGAGTATTCTTCCACGGGACTGTCACACTTATGTAATGTGAGCTGTAGATATAGTAGTTAATAGTAGTGGCTCCCTGAGCCCAAAAAGTAATCTCAAGGGTTCCTCTATGTTTAAAAAGTTGAGAAAGATTGGTTTAGAGTATATGTAAACCCAATCAGTAAGAAGTACTGTCACCTTGCATGGGCAAGACAAAATAACAAAGTCCCTGCAATACACCCCAAGCAATCTATACTCACCTTACCAGCAGTGGTAATTTTGTTGTCCAAAATATTTTCATCAACAAAATTAACACTGTTTTTGTTGACTAAAATATGACTAAAACAATTCAGATATCTAAAATACGACTAAAACTAAAATGGCATTTTATTCAAAAGACTATGATTAAAACTAAATTGAAATTTGACATCAAAGTCCTCCACAGCCAGTACGGAAATGACTGATGTTGGTGACATGGGAGAACAGAAAAGTCTCTTCAATGGTCATGTGATAGACCTAATCACTGTCATTGGGGAAGGTCATGTGCTCCTCTATACACCAACGTGCCTGTTATTGTTCCCAACTGAGAAGCAAGGAGAGGAGGGATGAGCACTCGAAAGAAGAGTATAAAAGGGTTGTGGGGGTCTTTATGGACACATTGTCAATTTGCCTTGCATGGGCAGCATGATAGTGTCTCTTTAATACATTAATGTCATTAGAAAAGATATTTTCATGATTTTTATCTTAGTGATCCTGCTATGAAGGGCCTTGTTCAGGTATTTCCTGTTACATCGTGACAATGCTGTGTCCTTGTCAACCAATTTAGCTCCTGCATTGGAACCCTGTCACATGGTTTCTGCGCAAAACTATTGTGTAGATTTACTAAAGGCAAGTAGTCAAAGGAAGTTGCACCTTGCAAGGGAAGTTGCCCCAAAACTTAGTGAATGAGGTGACGCTCTGCTGACTCCCGTCATCCAACCAGGTGCAAGCAAGAATCCTGTTTTTTTTTTAATTTCCTTGCATGTGATTGGATCTTCTTTGCAAAGTGAAAATTCACATTTAATACACTTCAAGGCAAATTCCCTTGCAAGCTAAACGGCCTATTTTCCTTTAGTAAATCAACCACTATAACTGGTCATTTCAACGCGCATTACAACAGGCACGGTCCACTGCTGTCACCATCAGAAAACCCACCCTGAGAAATATCATGAATCCATTTTAAGAATACATGTAGACAAAGCTGCAAAGAGGCTGTAGACAAGAGGCTGCAAAGAGGCTGTAGACAAGAGGCTGCAAAGAGGCTGTAGGAGATCAGCATAACTAAGATACAACAAAGGATGCATTAAAGCATTTTATTTATATTAAATAATGGCATTTATTTATTATAAAAAGTGCTTTAGTAAACTTAATGTACTGAATCCTTCACAGGTTCCATGTTTTTGGGAGCCGTTTTTGCTTACTGCCCATGACTGTACTGTATACCACAGGAATTATTTTCATGAAAGCGTAAACTAGATTCTACTATGATTTGTCACTCCCATTTTGCATGCATTAAAGTGCATCTAAAATAAGTTATTAAAACAAAGTTTTTGCTTTGTGCTCCGAAATGTGGAATAATCTATAATGGTGGTAAATGAGATATCTAAGCTATCAGTATTCAAAGTCAATTCACTCAAGAAATCATGCATAATTAGTAGTGCACATAATTATCTAAATTGCATACTACAATAACATTCATTGTCTGAGTTATTTTTGTGCATGAGAAGGTTTTTGCTGCTATCTCATTTATATGCACACGTTCAATAAACTATTATTTAAAAGTATCAGTTGTAGTGCTCAAATGAACATTTTCAGTGAAAATTTACGAAAGGCCATGCTGTATATTCCTTGTCAATTCCATGGTACTGCTAAAGAACTAAAAAAATATATTATTTATTAAATGCATTTATTATTAAAGTGTTACTAAACCCAGGACCCTGCATTCACTATATCTGGTCCCCCCTGGACCCTGCATTCACTATATCCGGTCTCCCCGAACCCTGCATTCACTATATCTGGTCTCCCCGGACCCTGCATTCACTATATCTGGTCTCCCCGGACCCTGCATTCACTATATCTGGTCTCCCAGGACCCTGCATTTACTATATCTGGTTTCCCCGGACCCTGCATTCACTATATCTGGTCCCCCTGGACCCTGCATTCACTATATACGGTCTCCCGGACCCTGCATTCACTATATCTGGTCCCCCCTGGACCCTACATTCACTATATCTGGTCCCCCTGGACCCTACATTCACTATATCTGGTCTCCCCGGACCCTGCATTCACTATATCTGGTCTCGCCCGGACCCTGCATTCACTATATCTGGTCCCCCTGGACCCTACATTCACTATATCCGGTCTCCCCGGACCCTGCATTTACTATATCTGGTTTCCCCGGACCCTGCATTCACTATATCTGGTCTCCCACACTACACACAACATGGAAGTGCAATTATTTTAGTAAATATAAACTGCTAAATGCCTTTTTTATCAGCAGTTAGAGCAGTCTTGTGACTTCTATCAGTGTCCAGCAGAGCACATGTTAAAGCTTGCAGGAGGAGTTTTCATTCTGCTCTAGGTGGATGCCGAACCCCTGACTTCTGTCTGGACAGTGCTGATTGGCCCGGTGCTGATCACATGCACTCTACCAAGAAAAAAAAAAAAACCTCTCTAGCAAAACACACCAAACTGAGCATGTGCACAGTGACTCCACACGATATGTCTTATCAGGAGATAAGAGAGGGGCACTGCAAGAAGGGGAGGATCAGAGAAGACAGGATCAAACAGCACGTTTTTTTACACAATGCAGAGGATTACCCCTTAGGTTCCACAGTGAGTATAACTAGCATGCTTTACTGCATATACAGACTGATTTTACTGTTGTGGGTTTAGTAACATTTTAAGTCTTCAGTCACACTGAATCCGATTTTGAAATCATAATTTCAAAGTCGGATGTCAGTGAGACTTCAGGCGAGACTTGGAAGACATCTTTGCGACTTCACGCACAGATGTCTATGCAAGTTGCACCTGAACTACCTGAACAAGTGCATGAACTATTTTCAAAATCGGTGCGACTCCGACGGAGTCTGAGTCACACCAATTTGACCACTTCCATTGCAGACAATAGGGTACGAATTTTTATGCGATTTTAAACTATCGGTGACTGAGGACTAATTGTATTAATATATATATCCATATTATTTTATTATTTTTAATTTCCATTGGCTATTATTTACTATGTTGCATTTGTTTGGAGTGTATACATTTTCCCTTTTGATAAACTAAATACGGTAAAAAATAAAGCAGTAACAAATTAAGATTGTTATTCTCGACGCTTAATGTTATACAATGATTACAACATAATGGTGAGAATGAAGGCAATAACAACAGCAAGTGATGGAGCCTAATACAAAACTACTTCTGTGTCTTCTCTTCAGATAAGATTATGGTGCTCTGAGAATTTTATTCTTTTTTTGCATATTTTAAATGTTAATTTCTAAACTAAATATGAATTCATATAAATAAATAAAGTAAAAATCCCATTTATATTTGAAGTAAAAAAGATATAAAAGCATCCATTTAAAAATGTACATTTTAAAACAATAACATCAAATTTACGCAAAATGAATAGTTTCATATTGATGATAGATACGTTTTAATTCACAGTACCAAAATATTCCACAGTTCTTCAGGTACAAAGCTCCAGCACTTCTTGATAATATGAAAGCATTCTAAGCATTCAGTGGGGCTCCTCCTCATAATAGACTTGGTTCCTGCCATTGCAGTTGAGTGCATTAGTCAGTAAGCTCTTTCCATCAAATTTTGTCAGTTGTGGCCCTCTCAGTCTCGTTCCACTAGATCTCAGTGGCTTTCATGACTGTTCTGAATGTAGCGCCATGCTGTCAGCAGTCATTTATTTGTTTCCATAGACTTTTCTTCTAGGTGGTGGTGTCCAGAGCATTGTGACTGTTTTGGGTATGCATGGTCAGGTGTCCAGAGGTGCAAGGTAGGTGCAGGATATGTCCAGCCAACCTAGCCTGTAGGTGGGAGGGAAGCCAGGTGGTAGGCAACCTGATGGGAAGGACAACACACAAAGGTGTCTAAAGTTGCAGAAAATGTATTGTCAAGAACGTTCCAATACACAGATGGTTAGCACTTCCGCCTAGCAGTACTAGGGTCGTTGGTTCAAATCCCAGCCACGGCACCTCCTGCCTGGAGTTTGCATGTTCTCCCTGTGCTTTGAAGTTTCTCCCACACTTCAAAGACATGCTGGTAGGTTAATTGGATCCTGTCTAAATTGTCCCTTAGTATGTGTATGTATGAATGTGAGTCAGGGACCTTAGATTGTACACCCCTTGAGGGTTAGGGACTGATGTGAATGTACAATATATATGTAAAGCGCTGCGTAAATTGATGGTGCTATATAAGTACCTGAAATAAATAAATAATAAATAAATATATGCAGAGGCTTAGAATTGGTGGCAACACTCACAGACGAACATACGATACTTGCAGGGAGTGATGCTTGGAGACCAAACAGCACATGGCGTAGGAGGCGGTGAGTAGAGTAGAGGTGGTAGTGGAAATGTTTCCCACAGCAGCACCAATGAACAGTTCCTATGCTGTCCCTCCTCCTCTGGAACTTCTCCCTTATGCTAGGCACACTCTCCCTGTCCAGTGGTTTTTTTTGTCCCTATCCTGTCCGCACGTAAAATATGCACCAACTGCAGTGAGCCAGTGGTTTTTATAAGCATTGTCACCACTAAAGGTGGTTGCAGGGGTCATCGGGGATAGCAGAACTCAATTGGACAGCACCTAACCCAATGACGTGATGATGTACGGAGTCCTATAAGGGATAAGTATTCATCCTGTCCTCCACTGATCCCTGCAGGGAGGCTACGATAGTGCCACCTGTGTAGGGAGGTCAACCTAAACATGTCTACATGTCTCCAACTGGTGACAATGTCTTTTCATTTCTGCATATCACTGTGTTTCAGGGTTTCCTTCTCTGTAATGCAGTCTCTGTATGCAATGCCCAGAATGTTCCATATGAATACTTTGTGAAATGAGTTCTGAATGTTTTGAATGTAGCGCCATGCTGTCAGAAGTCTTACATGTTTACATTATCTTCTAGGTGGTGGTGTCCAGAGCATTGAGATTTTGGGTATGCATGGTCAGGTAGGTACAGGATATGTCCAGCCAACCTGGCCTGTAGGTGGGAGGGAGGCCAGGTGGTATGCAACCCGATGGGAAGGACAACACACACAGGTGTCTAAAGAGCCACCTGTGTAGGGAGGTCAACCTAAACCTGTCTACAAGTCTCCAACTGGTGACAATATCTTTTCATTTCTGCATATCACTGTGTTTCAGGGTTTCCTGTAATGTCTGTAATGCAGTCTCTGTATGCAATGCCTAGAATTTTCATTTTTCCAATTTTCTGATCTTTCAAGCTTCACTGGCATATAGGGTGGTGGAAATGACAATCATAGCATACGGGGCACCTTCTTGATCTTCGCAAGTGAAGGCATAGCCTATGGGCATGTGTGGAAGGGGATAGAAACCGTCATGCTTGGACATTAACGGGGAAAGCTGAAGCTTTGTCCACCAAAACATTATAGCAGGAAATGTTGAAGCTATGCCCATCAAAACAGCCCGGTATTGAGGTGTACCAGCAGGACATGGAGGCTGCTGAAGGTATGTGCAGACATCTCTAGGTGCTTGAACTTTTTACCTGACAACAGTTTTTTTTTATTTTCCTGTTTTAACTTAGTCCTCATGTCATTGATTAAATATTTATTTATTTATTTATTAGTACAGTTATTTATCAGCACCTGTTCCAGAAGGTTATGTGATCTCCAGGCAGAGTCCCACACTAACCAGGTTCAATAAAGCATTTGTCCTCTACATTGACAGATGAAGTCAGTGTACAAAACAGCTTCTTTATTTAACATGAACTCTAACTACCCATATTAACACAATGCTCTCTGCATTATGCATTGACTCATTTGACTAAATGATTTAGTCACAATGTTGACCTGAATGAACTTCCATTAATATTTCATGAAGCCGTTGATGTCAGTTGTAGGCCATTGTTACTGTGAAAGGTGTGTTAATGAAATATTCATTTATGTCAGTCTGCACACAGAATAGTTAATACTTTTATTGCATATATATAAAGAAGAATCATAGAAGAATATCACAGCTTTTAATATTGCCAGTAACAGGAGAATAATTTCTTTGGGCTATGGAGCAAAGTATATTGGCTGGTTACATCAAAGATGTCAGGAAAATGCATAAATGCCATTTATGCAGAAGATTCTTGACAATGACATTAAAATTATTCTTCAAACAAAAAATAATCCTGGTTTTAATATTTTATACCTGGATTTACACCAACTAAATTCCTATAGTTTTGGATTCTTCATCTTTCGATCTTTGGTCCCATGAAAATACTTAAAGCACTTACATCTCATTCCCTGTTACTCTAACTTCACCTACACACTGGACTCTGAGAAAGTGGCAGCAAAGAACCCTCTGTCAAGAGGTCACATCCCGAAGCACTGTGAGCAGTCTGATGGATTTTGCTGTAAATGTCACTCAGTTCAAAAGTTAAATAAGTAGTCATTTAAGGCGTACACGCCGTTAAAAAATGTCTTCATCAGCATTAGCGGTCTGTCTATGAAGCAATCTATTAACCTCCTCGGCGTTATGATTCTTTCCGATTTTTTGTGCTGAAAGCAGTGCCATTTTTTTGCATGGAAATATGTAGTTTTTTATTGTAGGCTGTAATTTTTAGGAATAATTTACTGAAATCTGTACGAACAAGAGTCTAGTAAACATTCCGGGTATGATAAAACTTGAAACACAAAATCATAAATTATAATTTAATAAAATAATCATAAAAAATAATAATATAATAATAATAAATTTAATTCAATAATATAATCAAACCAAAAACACTGAAATTTGAAATACAGAGGCAAATTGCACATCGCTGAGCAAAGTCACAAAATTGTTTTCAGTGTCTGATGACGAATTTCCCCCACGAATCATTTTCACTCAATTCTGCAAGTGGTTCTTATTTACTATCGCTGTTCTAAAACCACTTTGGACGTAAAGGGACGCTTTTTGGACGCTATTGGACTTTTCTAAGTTTCCAGGCAGAAAGAACAGTCAAAATGCAGGCAGGGCACGGACAAAGCACTCGGGACAAAATGTATGTGAAATGCATTGAAACAGCAATGACAGCAAAAATTACATTTTTAAAAAATTTTAAATTTCCCGCCGGTTCACCGGCGCCCGTACATCCCGACATCACAGGGACCAGAACACGGAAGCACGCCGCAACGCCGCATGGTAAGCCCGAGTGTAGCTCGGGGTTACCGCTCTTGGTATTGAAATTTTACCCCGAACTACACTCGGGAAAACCGCTAAGGAGGT